TGCAAGTTGATTTTCGAGCAATCTTGTTCCCAGGCGTTTTCCCGCTTCCCCAACATACCTCGCCTCGCAGTCTTTGCATGGTATGCTGTAGACTGTGGCTGATTGCTCGGTTGCTCGGTTGCTGGCAGCGGGTCTTTGGGCTTCATGATTTGTTGTCTGATTGTGAAATATGGTCTGCGCCACTCCAATCCCAAAGGGTTTTAGGATTCGTTCAGTCGCCTCTGAAACGTTTGTCACGTAGGGGATGGCGAGCCATAATTTTGGTTTTTCTTCGCTCGACCAATGAACACGAGGCTTTTTTAAATGCACTTGTGGATAAATGACTTCGGATAACTATTGGCTTTGAAAAGGGTATTCATGTACGTACTTCCTCTCCTCCTGCGTTCCACTGTCGTTGCTACAGTGTGTAGGAACACGTCGGAATAGGGTTCCGACACAACTGCGTTTGTGACCAACAGGGTGGTCGCTTTGGAAGTGAAGAATGTGCGTAGCATTATATGGCTTACGGTAGACCGTTGTTCTTATATTCCCTTTTGACAGTTTTGAAACTTGTACGTCAAGGAAAGGCAACTGATTGTTGACTTCCTCTACCGTGGTAAACTGAATATCGGTAGAAGTCGAGTTCAACCGATATACTATCAGGCAGATGGCAGGGTGTGCTAACTCAATACCACCAGACGCAGCTACCACAAAAATCGGAGGATGCAAGCGATAAGGTTTTCGGAACGTCAGTTAAAGTATAATTTGGTCCATAAACGCGCCCCCTTTTCTTCATCCTTAACTTTGGTAGATGATGAACGCGACAACATATGAATGTGTGCATCTTTATTTGCGTACAAGTGCTGCTGGAGAACATTCAATTGTATTTATATTTCTATCTGCATGCAAGCAAATGTATGTCACCGAGTTATACCTATGTTTCCCTCAAATGAACGATTTTGAACCGAACCATATAAGAGAAATGAATCCTTTTTTACAGCAGCCTCTGTTTGGAAAGGCATGGAAATGCGAGTAAGGTTAAATTGCCTAAAACATTGGAATATAAATCGGTACAATAGTCCAGTCATTTAGCGAGCGCCGCGACTTCCGAAATGTGAACTGACCTACATTGTCATATCAAAATTATGCCCTGCTATTACAATCTTGCCAGCTCATGTCTGCAGGAGTGGACATCACGAATCCGAGATCGAAAATATATGTAAAAATATGGGTATTTTATGTAAACCTATACGTTTGTGCC